CTTATTCAAGGGTTACTTGTATGAGTTACTTATTCAAGGGTTACTTATATGAGTTACTTCAACTTGTATGAATTACTTATTCAAGGGTTACTTGTCACGTATTCAAGGGTTTCTTGTAAGCCCCATACCAAACCAGTAACACCCTATATTAACCTTTGAGCAAAACTAGTAACACCCTACAAATAACCCCTAACCAAACTAGTAACACCTTACAAGTAACCCCTAACCAAACCAATAACACCCTACAAGTAACCCTTGACAAAAACTAGTAACACCCTACAAGTAACCCCTGACCAAACCAGTAACACCCTACAAGTAACCCCTAACCAAACCAGTAACACCCTTACCAAACCAATAACAACTTACATGTAACCCCTGACCAAACCAATAACACCCTACAAGTACCCCTGACCAAACTAGTAATATCCTACAATTTTTGACGTAGAATTTTCGATCTAAGATTCCACGAAGAAAACGAGCTCACATTTCTTTGGTTCTCATCGATTTCACTACTTTAAATGTTGTTGATGATCTTAAGGATAATTAATCAAAAATTTTCACAGCAATTTGACACCCAATTTCTACAATTTTGGGCTTTAATTGCAGCAATTTAGCAAAGAGGAGAGAGAAAATGGGTAGAGTAGAGATATGGTTGTTGGTGATGTGTGATTTGACTTGAAGAAAAAACCAAGAAAAGAGGAGAGAAAAAATGGGTGGAGTAGAGATATGGTTGTTGGTGATGTGTGATTTGACTTGGAGAAGAAGATAAGAAAAGAGGAGAGAGAAGAGTTGTGGTATTTAAAAAATAAATAAATAAAAAATAATAATAAATTTGTGGCTGGCCAGACCGTGCGGCCAGCCACATACAAAAATTTGTGATATATGTGACTTATATAAATCTTAACAAAATACCTATTCTTAAATCTAAGGTCAATGAGTGGTGAAATTGATTGGATAAGCTCAATTTCAATTGATCTAAATTATGGATTTGAATTGGATTTATTTTATCAAAAACTACGCAAACTTTGTGAAACAACCCGTCTTGTATGTGATTGGTTATGCCATGTAGCCACTTATAAAATAACAAAGTACTATTATTACATTAACCAAGTAACTCTTATATTTCTAACTGAATAACCCTTATAACACTAACTAGGTAACCCTTTAATACTGACAAAATAACCTTTTTAACACTAACCAATTAACCCTTATTACACTAACAAAATAACCTCTATGATGGAACCATGTGGCCAGCCACATATAAGAATTTGTGTTTGTGAAAAACTACCTAAAAAAAATGTTGTAAGAAACAACCTTATAAAGGATAAACTATTGTAATAAACTAATTTGCAGGATATCCACCTTAGACACACCTCAAAACACCCTCGAAATCACCACTTTCATCCCCAAAACCAACACAACCTAATTAAAATTGCCTCCAACACGTCGAAACCACCCTCCAACCCTAAAACCACCAGCTCTAACCCCCAAAACTACCATTCCAATCCAAACTTCACCAACTCAAAATATCCTTCAACCACCCGAATATAACCTTACCACCTTGAAAACCAACCCTCGTGTTTTGGGAGTGTTTTGAGGTGGATCAAAGCCGTAAAATTAGGTCAATGGTCAAAATTTGGTTAAATATAGTATTTTACAACATTTTATCTTTTATTAGGTAATTTCTTACAACATTTTTTATTATTAAAAAAAATCGATCCATTTGAATTACATGGTTTATCAGCTATTAGGTAATCAAGTTTGCCTTGGATCAGGTTTTTGAGCAAAGTGCACGGTAATTTTTATTCTTCTTCTTATCTACAAGTTATTTTGATTGGTCAATGGATGTGATAAATTGGGTGTTATCTCATTTTCATACCTTTTAAAAAGAATGAGTTAACTCTTATAATACTAGTATTTAGACAATTATATCATCTAAATTGTTTATTCATTTATTTGCCCCAATTAATGTTATTAATATTACCTTTTTTTTTAAACTTTTATTTATGATTAGTTTGCGGACATTTATACCCAAATAAAATGAGGATATATGGATAATAAGTGAGATAATTTCACGAATTTCACCACACCCACTTTAATTGGAGGTATGGCTTGAGTGTCTATTGGACGAAAATGAATATCCAAAATCATACCCGTCATGAATTGTGAATTTAAAATCATATCCAAATTGTCGGGCTTACCCTACTCAGATCATCATGATGTGAGTCCACCACTAACTATCTCTTTCTTCATATATTTTTTTTCATGCAATCAAATTTATTGTTCTTTATTTTCCACCATCTACCTTAAAAACTTACACTAGACTATCACCTAGTATTTCTCTTAATGAAACGCTAAATATCACCCCTATTTTACATACTAATGCCCGCATTTTGACTTGAACATACCATTTTTGCCCCTCTCCTTACTGTCATCCATTGAAGCATCTACTCAAAATTCTTCACTGAAAGTGGCTTATGACTGTAATGAGCAATCCATCATTTGATACAAAATATGGATTCTCTGCCATAGCCTAAGTGTAGTATTAATAATCATAATACATCGCAAATTCTAAAATCGAACTCAATCAGTCCAATTAATACACTAATATGTAGGGGTGAGTGTAAATTTAGGGTACCCATCCTGACGTGGAATCGGAATCTGTACATAGATTAGGTTCGGTTCCTGGTAATAAAATTGGGAACCTGTTGCAATATGTTCCGGATCCGGGTAATAAAATTTTGGACCCGAAATTTATAGGGTACCCTTTTAGTACAGATTCCCTATAGGATAGATGAAACCAAAACCTATCATTTAATCCCAGGTATAAAAGCCCTATATGAAAACTGTATAAAAGTCGTCACCAACCTCTCGTCATCCTCTTATTCATTTTTCATCTTATTTTTAAAGGTTTAATTAATGGTATTAATATAAGTATTTGTATTTTTGTATTAAATATTATAGACAATCAAGTAACTATTAAGCTTACTTTGAAAGACACGGTACCTTGTTTCGAAACCTGCAGGTTTCGGTTGCGATTCCCAATTTTTAGGAACCTGTTAAACAGATTCTGGTTCTTATTTTTAGGAACCTGTTACAAACTTACAACATGTTCCAATTCCGAGTCCTGATATTTTTACAGGGTACCCTGCTACGCGCCTACGCTCACCCCTACTAATATGTACCAAATTTCAATTACATATGATTGATATCTGCTAAAAAAAACTTGCTGATTTTTTCATATACTATACAAAAATTATGTAATTCTACATAAATCTTTAATAACAAAAAATTAAAAAAAAATTAATTGGGATGAAAATTACCAACATTTTTCACAGAGGCCTTTAATGGGTAGTAGAAATGGTGAGTTCATAGTTGTTTTGGGTAATTTTACCCATGCCACGTGGTCCAATCATACCTTGACATGTATCAAGCCCTGGTTGGCCCGAATTGGACTTATCTCTATTCGACACGTGTCTTTCCTAAAATTCGGGAGAAAAAGGCGACCTTTAATGGCCCAAATCCCGAGAAAGTCGTAATTCAGCGCAACCTAGAATAATTAGGTCAAAATGACCTAATCAGGGGCACATTTACCAATGACCCTATAAATAGGGAGATTTTCCCTATTTTTGGGACATCTACAATTATTACAGCATACCCTACATTCTCTTACACCAGAGAATCACCTAATCTCAGAATCCGAGAAGATCTCATCTCTTTTTCCTCGCTTTCTCCCGTTTACATTCATGTACTAACTTGATCTTCAGAGGCGGAGCTCCATCCACCCAGAGTCTCCGTTGTTTTGCAGGTACAGGTCGCGTGCAACCAGTCTCTGAGCTGTAACTCTCCCGAGGGACATAAACACCCAAAAAATTTGGCGTCGTCTGTGGGGAGAGTACCTCAAGGATGGTTCAAGAGTCTACATCACCTTTTGACCACCCAGTTAACTAGCCGAAGGTCTTTACTGACCATGAGGATGATGATCCTCATGTCGAAACTGACATAGCCAAAGATGGCTCTCTGATCACAAATCCCATCCGTCCTAGAGACACTCTGGAACGGGGTGCAAGCCATGAGGATACAAGCAGGCCCCCTACCAGCCGGAAGAGGAAACCCAAACGGCAAACGGATCTTCCCCAGTCACCCGGGACGAACTCATGAAATTCATTACTAGTTTCAAGGGTAAAATCAAGGATCTGATCACCAAGAGCAGAGGTGGCCCAAGCAAGGGTCAGTCGGCAAGAAAGACTCCTCCGGTGAGGAGAAAGCCGGTCAGGGAAAGGCAGCCGACTCCGCATCCAAAGGACAAGGCAGCCAGGACTCTTGACTGGTCCAAGATTCTTCTGCCCCAGAAGAATATAAGAAACCCCCGCCGGAGTGAACAGCTGGTGGGTAACAAAAAATCAACTATTGACGCTCGGGAAATCATCACCCGGAGGAGAAGTCAGCAGCTGTGTGAGTCAGCCTCTACCTCGAGCTTTCTAGACAGGGTCAAGAATACATCCGCAGGGAATACTCAATCCTTGCACGAGAGCCATTCAGGCGGTAATACCGTCCACTTTGGCCCTCAGATGATTGGGAATGCACCGTATGTATCCCCTATGGTCTACGACCAGTATTATCCTCACTTCATACAGCCGGCCCTCTTTGGGGGTCAGGCGGTATATAACGCCAACCTTTGGACTGGCAACTTTGAGTGCTCAAACTTGGTGAACAAACTTATGCGTTCACCAAGGTGATAACTGAGGCCGCACAACCGACCAAGCACTAGTAGAAAAATGCTCATTTGCGTCGCCTTATTTGCGTCACTCGTAGAAACAAATGGCGCAAATGATATATTTTAGCTTCACTCTAAGTAATTTGCGTCAGACATTAACTATAAAGCGAAGCAAAAGTCTGATATATTTCAGCTTACTTATATTTGCGTCGCTTTCATAAATAGAAACGACGCAAATAGTAATGTTATTTGCGTCACTCATTTATTGATAAGTGACACAAATAACTTTGTGGGTAAATTGCGTCACTTCTTTCTTCATTGAGCGACGCAAATGACTATTACCACTACCACCCACTCAGTGCTTCCTCTCATTCAATATAAAATACTCTTGCTCCCATGTCGCCGTTCGAACTTCAAAATTAAACCCTAGCAAATTCAACTGCAAAATCCCCAAAAATTCAACATCAAAACCTCAAGAAATTCGTCCAACCAACCGATTCCCCAGCGTTGCCTTGTTGTCGTTCGTACTGCAAAACATACCGATTTCAACAGCAAAACCCTGATAAATTCGACCCAAACCAACAAATTTGACCCCAAAATCAACAAATTCGACCACTAATTGAAAACCCCAAAATATCCAAGCCAAAACCCCCCATTTTCTAGCAAATTCGAGGCAAAACACCCCATTTTTGAGCAAAAATCGACCCAAACCACCCACAAAATTCAAACTATTAAAATCATTGATATTCGAGATGAAATACCCTAAATCGAGGCTAGTAGGGGATTTCTGCTTGTTGGTGTTGATGTTGATGGTTAGCTGGGGCGGCATTGGCTGATTTATGCGGTGGCAGCACTATTAATTGGTGGAGATTTGGGTGCCGCTGCGGTGGTAAATTGCTGTTCAAAAGTTGCTGGAGTTCTCACTCGTTCTGCTTTGTTCTATAATTTCTCATTCGTGAGTGAGCTTTTTAATTTCTCATTTTATGTAAACCTTGACTTCACAAAATCTATCACAATTTCACGGTATTTTGAGCAATTGTTCTTGTTTAATCGAGTGTTTGTATCTAGATATAAAGTTTGATTAGTGAATTACTTGGTGCATGTGTAGCAAGTGGCTTGTGGTCGGTGGTGTGGCTTGGTGCAGCGGGCAATTTGTTGTTGAATTGTTTGTGAATTGCAGGGGATAATGTTAAGGTTTCTCTCTTATATTCAGAGTAACTCTAATGTTATTGTTATTCGATGAATTTTCTTGTTTAATTGTTCTATAATTTGAGATATTATAGTTAATTTCTTACTTGATTTCTCTCATATTAAAGGTAAATTAACATTACAATTGAAGTGGCATAATCTAATTCTTCATTAATTACCGAATATCGGTTCCACAATCTAGAGTTTCATTATACACTCTTGCTAATCTAAATTTCAGTATACTCAACTTGTGGCATTTCTAAGGTGGATTTTGAACTACATTTATGATTTCACTAGCTTTATAGTTAAATATATATTTTCGTTAGATTCTATGTATTCTTTGATGTTGTAATAAAGCTATATTTTTTCAATACATGTATTGGGTTATGAAAGTGTATGACATGAAGTTCTTGAAGAATAAGGTTACAGTACTTACATATAGCATAGGCTTGATTACATTAGTTAATTGATTTTCGTGTGGTGAAATCCTTGGTGCAAGTGCAGCTGATGGTTGGTGGTTAGTGGCGGTGGTGTGGCTTTGGTGCAGCGGCAATTTGTTGCAGAGAGCTTTTTTGTTGTTGAGTTGTTTGTAAATTGCAGGGGAGAAGGTAAAGGTTTCTCTCTCACAATCACATATACATATTAACTCTAATCTTTTTGTATTTCATTGAATTTTCTAGTTTGATTGTTATATAATATCAGGTATCAGTTGGATCAATAATCTGCTTATCGCATTTCTCTAGCTAGTACAATCTCACAAATAAGAGCCATATTTTCTGCCACAAAATAATTACAGGACTTACTATTTGCAGAAAAAGCCGAGACATAGTTCCTAAATCCTAAATTTCACATTAGCATGTTTATATAAGACTGAGTTTCAACATTATTTATCACCTGAGATAATTGTTTGTTTTTCTGGGGGTTGGGGGAAACTGATAATAATTCTTGAAGTAGTTAATTTGATTAGAATGGGATCTTGGCAATATTTGATCAATTACAAAAGTTTTAAAAGAAGTTTAAGCCTCCAAGACAAAGTTTGGTCTCCATACAAACAACTTCATCATAGTTCAAAAAACAATGGAGATTGTGAAAGTGTATGACTTGAAGTTCTCGAAGAATAAGGTACAGTGAATATTTTGTTGCATGTATAGTGATAAATAAAAACAATGGAGTGAAATAAATTCTTAACTAAGATGTATTTTTTCTTAAAATATGGTGAGAATGATTAGTATTCTTATTTTTCATGCTTGAGTTTGTATCTCTTTTGAAATAAGTTGTATTAGTATGTCAACTTACTTTGTTGCTATGATGCGTGTAGTGACATAAAAAATTGGGAGGATGTGAGATATGGATACTATGTCATGTGCTATACGTTTGAAATAGTTCAACATCATCGTAATATAATGAGGACCTTATTATAGTATGTGTTGTCACATTTTTCATTACTAATTCAATATATTTTAGATTTGCTACACTCTTGAAATGATTATTTTTTTTGTTTTGTGTTGTGTTAACATGTTTATTTAGAACAATACCTTATACTGGGGAGGAGATAAATGTGGTTCAAGATATTTGGTCAGACAATTTTATGAGCAATGTTGAAATTTAGAATTTAACTTAGCTAACTCCATTTATTTGTTAGACTTTTTTTGTTTAGTTCTTAGGCTTGAAATGAATGTAATTCGGTTACCAACATTTTGGGTTGGTCTTTGTTCTTGTGTTGGTTAATGATACCAATCATTTTGAGTTGTAAACTTTTTGATAGGATATTAGTGTATACATTGACGTCATTCCCAAATTTATGGATAGGCCAAAATACGAAGGAAAATCTATCGAAATATATACTTGATTTGATTAACTTATCATAATCTAATTGTCTTACATTATAAAATTACAATATATTGATGGAAAAGTATAATAATGTTTTTTTAATAGATTTGAAAAAAAAAGAAATCATTTGCATCAGTGGTTGAATAAATCCTCAACCAATCATTTGCATCACTCATTTATAAAACAAGTGACGCAAATAACTCTATTTTATACATCAGTTGAGTCATTTGCATCACTCGTTTAACAAAGGAGTGACGCAAATAACTCTATATTATACATCAGTTAAGTCATTTGCGTCACTCCTTTAACAAACGAGTGACGCAAATAACTCTATATTATAACAATAGTTAAGTCATTTGCGTCACTCCTTTAACAAACGAGTGGCGCAAATAACTCTATATTATAACAATAGTTAAGTCATTTGCGTCACTCCTTTAACAAACGAGTGACGCAAATAACACTCATTTGCGTCGCTCATAGGAGCGACGCAAATGACTCAAAAGTCATTTGCGTCGCAAGCAGTTGCGTCGCTCATAGAAGCGACGCAAATACACCCTAAATGAGCGACGCAAATGAATGTTTTTGTACTAGTGAAGGTTAAGAATATGTTGGTGGGTGCTTATGATGGTACCACCAACCCGGAGGACCACCTCATGGCCTATTCTAACCTCATGCACATGCAGGGGTTGGAGGATGCCATGTGGTGTCGGTGCTTCCCGGCTACATTGAAGGGCATTTCCCAACAATGGTTTTGCAACTTGCAAGCCGGATGCATCGACAACTTCAGGAAGCTTGCTGTAGACACCTAAAAATGTCTCCCCAAAACCAAACCCGATGATAAATAACCTTTCACCGCCACTATTGGTCGGGTTTAGTATTTAATCCCGAGAGTGCTTAAAAAATCGTATTCATACTTTTGAAAGGTCCATGGATTAGTCTTGATGTTTGGTAAAAGCATAGTTTTAATTTTAGCCCAACCTTATTAATTAATTTTGAGCCCAAACCTTTTTTTTATTTTATTAATTTTTTATTTAATTTTGGCCCAAACATTTTATTTATTTTTATTTTATTATTTTCTTATTTTAGCCCGAATAGTAAAAGTCAGAAAAAAGCCCGAAATTATCAATCGGCACTTAAAAAGCCGAAAGAAATTAGGGTTAAAAATAAATTTAGACGGAAAAATGGACTGGAACTGACCGTGTCACGGTACAGCCTGACCATGTCACGGGAACCCTATCCGTCTGACGGTGGGACTTCCCGTGACACGGGAGGTCTGTCATGACACGGGATGTTCCGTGTCCTTTCCGTGTAAACCCTTAACGCGTTTTTCATTCCGTTTTCAGAAAATTTCCCGCGTCACTCCAAAACTGACCGTGTCACGAGAAAGTGCACCGTCTGACGGTACTGTCTAACCGTGTCACGGTACAGCCTGACCGTGTCACGGGATACTTTTTTAGGGTTTTTATCATTTTAGGGTTCCGTGTGCTCCCTCAGCACATTTTCCCTATAAATACCCCCTCATTTCTGATGTACGGGGCAATCAGAATTTTATGATTCTTATTTTCTCTCTTCTATGCTCTCAACCTAAACACTAGCCTACCCTTTTCGCTTCAAAATTCCTTCTTCAAGCACTCAAAGGAGTCCATATTTTACTCGAGGTTCTGTCCTTAAATCAAGGCGTGAAAGGTAGAATCGTTTGAGGGTTTGGCCCCAAAATCAACTTTAGTTTTATTTAATTTAATTTAATTATTGTTTTATTATTTCCTTGAAGTTACTAACTCGTTTATTATTTTGTAGTTGCAAGCAAACAGATTCAAAGTAAGGATCATGCTCTTTTTATTATTTTTCTAACGATTCTTATGTTGTTGGAATTATGATTAAATTGGTTTTTATATTAATGTTGATTCTATTATTGTTATTATTGATCACAATATTGCATGTTTAAAGGGAATATGTAATTGAAAATCACGACTAATAAGATAATTTTGACAACCGGTTTAGGTTCCCTTTTAATCTTATTGTTAATTCAAGTGATCACCATATTTTAGAATTATGTGTGCATTAATCTTAAACCAATTTAGTTAAATAATAGTTTGGAGCGAATTGAATTATTGTTTGTATGCCTTTGATATCACAGGAATGCTTTTCACTATAAGAATCGAGTAGAGGCCAATACGGGCGAATGTGACTCCATGACTCACTTCGTACCATCATCCCCGATCCTCCTTTCGTGGTTCCGAACCATATGGAGTTAGTAATCTCATGGATTATGAGTGGGGTGTAACCGTAATGTCAATTCCCACTTCCTATGAGTGCCAAGCATATTCACCACATGCTTTTTACGTAGGCGCACTTCGAGCGACGCCTACAATTTGGCGACTCCACTGGGGAGGATTCTTAATTATTTATCGATTTGAGTGATCGGTATTAAATTAAGATGAGTGGATGAGACTTGAAAGATTCTTGAAAAAATATTCCTGTGATTAATTTGGCATTTTTGCATCTGCATAGACGTTTTAATGTCGCATTCAGGTCTGTCCCGTAGGAAAAATTGGATAACTCGGTTGCGCGCAAAAGCAAACAGGGCACCAGTCAGATTTTCTGACTGCCGTGTCACAGCAGAGTCTGCCGTGTCACGGCAGTCCTAAAATCAGTCCGATGGCCTTTTTTCTTTTCTCACAGTCGACTTCCTTCGATTTTTCTGAAAAAACGTATGTGTTCTACATGCGTCTTAGCCCCGGGGAATTTAAGCTCTATCAACCCAAAAACGCTCATGGCAATAAGGGTTCATCCGAGTCATTAAATCCACCCAAACCATGGAGTCGAGTTCGATTTCATCACGAACTCGCGAAGCCGCCCGTTGGCATGCACCCTCAAGGGAGGCTGCCTTGCTAACCCGTCCAAACTCATAACCATGGTACCCTTTTGACACCCAAAGCTTGACCAATAGTTGAACATAGGTCTTGACTTTAGGTTGCGAACTTTTTTTACATCATCGTGCCTAAATGCTATGTGTTTGTTTGGTGCTAACCCTCATGTGTTTGCTCTTTTTGTTTAACCCATGACCGAGGGTTTTTATTCTCACATAGTAATTAGTACGGACTTAAAATCGATTAAAATCTGAAAAATTACAAAACTGACCTGGAACTGCGCACCGTGTCACGGCATTGTCTGTCGTGTCACGGTGAACAGTGCCGTGACACGGGAGAGTCTACCGTCTGACGGTAGGCTTAATCGTGTCACGCCAGTCTGCACCGTGACACGGTGCCCAGGAAAGTGTCCCGTCAGTCTTTTTTCTCGATTTTTGTGTCCAGTATTGAGTCGTGTCTAGTTATACAGTCAAAACACGCGTCTATAACCTCACCTAATCACTCACATATTATGTCCACACACTTTTTTTAGTCATGCACAACTTTTGACCGTATTTTAGGGAAGTTTCGTTTTTGGTGTCATTTTTTTTTCGGAGTAAGTCGGATGGTATCCTCCCATGTTTTATTTTTTTAATAAGTAGAGCTTCAATAAAATAAAAAAAAATTTCTTTTTTTTTAATCCGGATAGGTTAAGGTCAAGTTTGGTCATTAAAGGTGTGTTTGTTTCGGTTTCACAACACTTGGGCAAGAAGCAAGGGGTAGATTGTTATGGTTCGAGTCCATACCTCAACAGCCTCTTATACCAAAGAGGCGTACAAGGAAACCACCTCAGTCATCTCCACAAGATCCGTCTCCAGTCTACTTTCAACCAATGGCCACTAAGGAAGACATCGAGAACCTCAACAGGACAGTCGAAAGATTGTCTGACATGATGTAGATACTCACTACTAGAGTCAGCACTGTAGAGCAAGACAAGCAAAACAGTGTCACTACTGCTGCGATGGATAAGATCAAGGAACATATGAGCAAGATTTCCGAAGAGTTCACTTATGTGGAACAACCTATCACCTCCTCGTCCATAAGGGAGAAGCTTCCTGAGAAGTTTTCTACTGTTGATATTCCCAAGTTCAAGCCTACTGATAACCCGCTTTTCCATTTGAAGGCTTTTTCTGCAACTATGGCTCTTAAGGGAGTAGATGTGACACTCTTCCCTACGGTGTTTCCTCTTTCCTTAGAACATGCTTGTCAACAGTGGTTCTATTCTCTGGAATCCAAGCATGTCGCGACCTGGGAGGATGTTACTGAAAGCTTTATAAATCGGTACAAGTGTAACATCCAGGCCAAGACTTCTGAACGTGAACTCTCCATTCTCAAACAGAAAGAAATTGAAGGCTTCACCACTTACCTAAGCAGGTGGAGAGAAACAGCTGCGCTCTTGGTGGATCCTCCCAAGGAGAAGGAAATGGTTCGCTTGTTCATTGCCAACCTGACTCATAAGTACAAGCAACACCTAAAGTTTCTACCCCTAAGTACCTTTGATGCTGTATACGATATTGGAATCAATATCGAAGACGAACTGATGAAATCTGTTGGTAGCAACAATAACAACAGTACTTGGAAAAACAAGAAGAACGACACTTCTTCTTCTTCGTCTTCTAAGCCCAATAATGCTACCAACAATATCAACATCAATGATGTGCTGGCCCTTAATGCTCCTCCTTAAAGATTCCAAAGGCAAAGGAGGGTTTATACGCCTTTGGGAATGACTTATGATGCTGCTTATGACCGTCTTCATGGTCAGGGACTGATT